CAAGTTAATGCAACATGCCATGATGCCACATTGGAAATTACTGTATTTTGCATTTCACAATCAAACTTCAAAGTTCAAACATAGCTTTAAAAATTTTATATACTCAAGTTAATGCAACATGCCATGATGCCACATTGAAATTCTTTTTTTGATTTAAATATCAGTAAAAAAATATTCAAATGGTGTTACACGTGATTCTGACAATCTTTAAACAAAACTTTATGTTTAAATGATTTTCACATAGGTCTCATTATTCACTCTAAGGACTGATGTGATTTTCATTCTTTTTATTTAACCAAATGAGTGCCTCCAAGAACATCCTAGTGGTTTAATGGTCATTTCTCCCTTATAAAAGATTTCTCATATTAAATGTGACAAGTGTGAAGTTTGAGTCCACTCTCAACATCCAAAAATGGGTGCCTCCATTTACATAGATTATATGAAAACTACATGCCCAAGTGTAAGTTGCATGAACATTCCTTGAGGGTTTTGTAATACAAGCAAATACAGTAGTTCTTCCATCTGCAATATATACACCTTAATGGAATGATGTTGCTTGTTTTGCTCTCTAAATTTTTAATCCCATCTATTCTTTCTCTGTCCTGTGACCAAAGCAACAAATTCAAATATGTGTAGGTATGGTTTGGGACTTCAACAAATTGTGGATCTAGTGCTTTTGGCTGCTGACATCATGGATTTATTTGTTATGACAGGTAATATAAGTTTCTGTACATCAAAGAAAAGAATAGGAAAGAAGATTTAGAGAAAGGAGAAAAAGCAGGGTCGATGGTTATTAGCTGGCATATTGGAACCTAATTGGGTGTTTGCTTTTATAACATTCATCTAGAATCCGAAGCACCATGCTGATCTGAATTGGATTTTGCCCATGTTATCAGATTCCGTGCTTGTATGATTTCAAGCCTTTAGTTGTCCTACTTTACCTATTTATGATTTTTGAAAATTTCATTTATCACATAATATTTTTTTTCATTTTTACCCTTAGTTATAATTAAGTGAAAATATAAGCAATTTGATCTTTTTTGAAATAAAGGTAAAATTGAAATATTAACATTTAATGTGTTAGTAAAATAAAAAATGAGACAACTAAATTAGACCATTTGTATTTAGAAAATGAAACAATTAAGGGCATGTTTGAGTGAGCTTCTAGGAGTTTCAGTTTTTTGATACTATTCATGTTTCATAAGTTAAAATTTTTCTTTTAAAAACTTACATTTTTAAACTTTTTTTTTACTATAAAAAAATCTCAAACAATAAAAACTCAAAAGTTTCAAATTCAAACTTTTCATAAACTCTATTTTTTCTTATTTTTCATTCATTTTTTCCTATATCTAAAAACAAATTTTAAATTTTTTCTTCAATAAAAATTTAAACTTAAAAAAATTTAAACTTATCACTCATAATAATATTCAAAAAGCAAAAATTCTCACAAGTTAAACTAAACAGGCTTTAAATTAGATGAAGAGAGTGCTTGCCTTCTAGGATCTTTTTATTTTTATTTTTTATCTTAATATGCCTTTTGTGTTAAGTTGAATTTAATTAAGCTCTTTAGGGTTCCTTGATTCTATTTCAATTATCTTTTGCCAAAAATGCCATCCTTCTTAATCTTACTTCTTACATGGGACTCGCAATGTTTTGGCATGTTGCGTGGGCATTGAGCGGTGCTTGCTTGAAATCCATCTTTGTTTTGGGTTTTGTCACTGGAAGTAGTTTTACTTTGCTGCATGATGCTGACCTGAATGGGAAGACTGTGACTCCAAGGAGGTATTTTCTAAACTAAAATCCATTTCCTTTTTAAATTCTGCTAGCACTAGTCTTGTAAATTAAATTTGTTTATGCACGTCACTTGATTCTGTATTTGATGCAAACCTCTTCTCCCATTGGGTGTGTATATGTGCATTTTAATTTTCAAAACTCTTATTCACACTTTCTGTTCTCTTGAATTTCATTTGCTTTTCCAGATTGCCCATGTCTCGAACACACTTTCCCCTAAATTCTGTTCTTGAAGTACATTTCGAGCTCACTCTACCCATAAATTCTGAACACACTTTTCCCAAAAGCTGCTTAATTCTAAATATGGAGTTGTTTGATACCCCTAAATGCAGTGGACAGACAGTGTAGTCTCTAAAGATGCTAATAATCAAGTCTCAGTTGACGAGCCAAAAACAAAAGTCTCAGTTACTTCTGTCCTTATTCAGAATAAATTTGATTAATAAGAGTTACAGTGGTTTCACCCACCTCTTCTGAAAGTAGTCTGAAAAGTCAGACTTTTGATGTAACAGGAATTTTTTACTGAATTTCCATTGGCTATGACAATAAAGGAAGAAAGAAAGCACAATTGAACATAAAATAACTTCTCATATTATGAAGTGCTGGTTAAGACACATGATTATTAAGTTAAATGTGCCTAAACAAATAGTGGAGTGCCTAATGGTTACAGGTAGATAGTTTTAGACTGCTATCTCTGGAGGAGCATGAGGAGAACAAGTTCATCTCCCAAGTCAGGCTCCAGGATTAATGAAATTAAATAAGGGATTATTGATTAAGTCAGGCTTTAGGACTCAAAGAGAGTGTAATGTCCTGAAAAACCCTAAGCCGCTGGTCAACTTTCTTGTGAAAGAATCCCGTGGTGTTGGTGGTATCCACCCCTTTCCTTGCTTCATTGCTGCCTGCTCCAAGTACTGCAGCAATGATAGCTTCTTCAAAGTCCCTGCTGTCTGGCAACAAGTCTGCCAACTTGTCTCCTGTGTCCTCAGGTGATTGAGAAAGCCTTCTTGTCTTAATTTCTGGTTTTTCCAGTTCTGCAGGGAAAGGCTTCGAGTAATCACCCATTTCAGTCACTCTCATAGAACTTGCAGCATTTCCAGACCTTGATCTCTTGAGGGTGTCATGAAAATTTGATGAATAGAATGGTGGTGCATCAATATTCAAAGAATTCCCAAAAGGAGTAAACTGCTTCACAATTTTTTGTTGAGGAACCATCAACTGGTTTGCAGCAATGTTAGCATCAACATTCTCATCAGTAAATTCATCCTGAGATTTGCCTGCATTTGACGTTCGCATAGAGTTATGATCCTTGCAGGGTTGGGGCTGCCAAATGGATGAAGAACCAAGGAAGGCATCAAAGAGCCTACTCTGCTCTACCCTATCTCCTCCCTTGTTCATCATCTCGGATTCAAGGTCCTTGAGCATCTGCTGTGCCCTCTCGTAGGCCTTGAGATGGGAATCCACTCCCCTCGGTCCATCTGCAATCGCCGGTTTTACTCTCCGGAGGGTTTCTTTGGCCTCGGCTATTCGCCCTTGCTTCATCAAGCAGATGCCAAGATTACACATCTTGTTATTGTCTGGGGCAATGGAAAGTGCCCTGCGGTATGCATCTTCTGCCTCAATGTAGTTGTTCTGCTGCATCAACGCCCATCCCAAGTTCCCCTGAACATATATAAAATCACTTCACTCTCATTACCCATTTACAAATTCAAAAGACAAGAAGCAGAAATTTCAACAGAGATTGAATTCTCACCAGTAACCTAGTAGCTTCTTGTTCCACTGAGACCTGAAATTTCTTTCCCTGAGACCGGGCTGTCTTTGTGCGTTTCCCATTAAAAGCCAGTCCTTGCTGAATCAAAAACAGCTTGTGTTTCAATAATGCTATTTGGTCATCCAATCTTCCACATCTCTGTGTAGTAATTAACCAGAAGAACAATAAAGTTAGTCCCTTTTTTATCTAAGAAACCAGAGAGAGAGTTCATATACAGAAAAATATTTGTGGGGGGAAATGACCTTATAAAGATCCAGAAGAATATTATCAAGAGACTCCTGTGCTTGATCCGAGCATCTATTACGCAGTGACTTGATAGCTTCAATGGCCTCCTCGGATCGATTTTGTTGTTTCATCACAATAGCCATGTCTTTCAAGGCACTATCTACTCTGTCTCCAGCATTGATGGCTGCCCAGAACAGAGGAATTGCCCTCTCTGGATCTTTTTCCACCAACTAATCAAGGAAAACAGGAAAAAATGGGGGCGATACCCATAAGATTAAAACTTGGATTGAATTTGAACCGAAAAAAGAATGCTTCAGAATGATTCATAACGAATTCCAGAGATGACCCATATACTTACTTGAACATTTTTGGCTCTGACATAAGGAGTGTCCCCAACTGGGACTTTGTGGATGGCGTGAAATGACTCAGATCGAGTTCTTAACATCCCAAGAGGCTTTGCAGGAGAAGAAGGAGCCGACTTCGTGGGCCTAAAACCTGGTGATGCGTTCCACACATCTTGCATCATCCTGAAACAAGGATATTTTCTGTCTGCCTTTTTGCTTTGTGTCTTTCTAACAACGACAAAGACGAACAAGATGTGTGGAAGTGAAAAATGGGAAAGAAGGGAAGGACTGTGTGAAGAGATCAGGAAATGGAGAAGAAATTAAACAGAAAAAGATGCAGAGAATGAAGAAGCGAGGATCTGATTTTAGAGAGGTGTTTTTTTTCGCTATAGGAGGAAAGATTCAAAATTTTCGACCGTTGAGGTTACCGTTTCAGAACTAGCCGTTGCGCGGCGTATAGACAATTCGATGATTTAACTGGCTTAGCGAAATCAAAGACGAATATTGCAATCATATCCCTAAAGTTCACCATTATTTAAATTATGGTCTGGTGATTTCAATTATTTTCTTATGGTACATAGTGTCATTATTTGGTGGAAAAATACAAATTTGCCTCCACACAGGATCGAAC